TGAGGCTATTGATTAAGATTAAACAATTAATATGAACATGATTTAGAAAAGAAAAAAAACATATCACATAAGAAAAAATTATCAATCAAATCTAGAAGTAAAAAAAAAAAAAAAAAAGCGTCCAACATGCACGCACACATGTCCAAATTTCAGTTATATGAAACCTCTAAAAACCCTAGTATTTATGTGGAAAAAAAGAATTGGTGTTAAAGTTCTCCTATGAGAATGGAGATCTACATGGGATCCCTTTCCTCCTACGTTTTCTCTTCACAACGGGTTCAACAACATCTTCTGAACTCTCCTTTCTCTTAACAATTGGTTCAACATCTTCTGAACTACTTTTTCTCTTCGCAATGGGTTCAACATCTTCTGAACCCTCTACCATCTCATCCAGTTGTGGTCCGAATATAGCGTTCCTAAACTGTCAATTTTTATTAAAAAAATATATATATATATATCAGTGTTAGATTAACAAAAAAAAAGACAAATATGAAGGTAATTTTTTTCTTAAAAACAGAAATAAAACACAATAATGTACCTTGCATTCTACGGAACAGTACAAAGCACAAGAAGCAGCGTCAAAAGGCCATCCACAGACTTTGCATTTATGCAAAACATTGTTTCTAGAACTATGATTATCACTCTCACGTCTCTGATTAATAAATACAATCGGATACCCATTCACTGAATATATATGTATCGCAGATATGTCCATATATTTTGATATTGTCTGCGTCCTTACTCCTGTCTTGTTCGAACATTTAAATGCCTGCAAAGTTCAACATCCAATTATCATAATTAAAGCTTGTTTTCTTCAACCAAAGTGGAAACCTAATAATAAAAAGTTGCATTTAAGAATGATTAAAGAGAAAAAATCTTTTACTTGAATCGTAAGATGGTTTTTGTGATCATTCTTTTTGAAGCAGACCTTGCAGAAAGGAGGAGTCATACAATCGCAACAGAAGTAGCATCTCTGTTCTGCGCTGTGTTGATCGCAAAACTCATGAAATAGTCTCGACTTCACCATCTGAACTAACCATGGAAATCTTTTGATGCAGCTCTGAACTTCAAGAGTCTCTTTCATACTTTCGAGTTTCTATCGTTAGGGCTCTCTTCGTAAGCAACTTCAACGTTGTGTAAATTTATTTTAGGATCGTCTAATCTTCTAGTTTTACAATTTATAGAGCAAGAGTTTTCGAGAGAGGTTCCAAATCGAAATAAATATTTCCTTTTTTTGTTCAGCAACCACTATTTCCTTTTTCGTCCAGCAACAAATATTTCCTAATCCATATATATTAGGGAAATTCACATCTACACGTTTTATTTACACTATACTGATTTATTTACACAATACTGAAATGGTATAAAAATTCACGTTTAAATTTTACTGTTTTCTGTTTATATACATCATTGATACAAATCACAATATCTGAAATTCAAAATTCATACTTCCTAGCATAGACATTAATAAACTTAAGCTTTTCTACAACCAATCAATTAAGTTTGAGGGGAAATATCGGCCTACTACCAATTTTATTTGAAACGTGTTGTGTATAATCTGGTAAAATTTATTTCACAGGAATACTATAAGGGAGACAAGTTCAAGTGTAAAGATTTTATATGTACATTCATGTCCTATGATTATTATGATTCTTATATATAAAGCAAGTGTCAATAAAATAAGGAAGGTAAACTCCAAAGATTGAAAAGAGCTGAAGCAAATAACAATAACCAACACAAGAAGGCCAATGTAGCCGAGGCTAGGTATTGGCTACAGATGTTATCTACGCAGATCTCTGCATCCGTAGACGAGAGCAGTTCGGCAGTACTGGCCACACCACATGCCCCACCCAGAGAAAGAAAAGACATTACCTGTTACAAAATATAGATATTACAATAAGAAGACTTCGCTGTGTTTTTAGGAAGATTAAGACACTCTTTTGTATTGCTTACGACATCAAGGGCGAGAACCATGGATAGATATCTAGGTTCACGATGAAGCTGTTGCATTAAGAGACAGTATATATCGGCCAGTGCGAGTAAGATACTCCATGTAGTTACAAAAAGCATCAAAGACGCCAAATAGCTTTAAGAAACAGAGAAGGTAGATCAAACTCAAATCTTGATGGAAATTAACAGATAAATCCTAATTAAATAAACAAATTAATAGCCTAAACTAGTTTCATTTGTCTCAACAGCAAGTTAAACCACTAACCAAACATCAGAAATCATGGAACAATACCATATCCTTAGCGTTATTTAAGACCGAAACCTATCCTCAAAGGTTTGATCAAACTTCAGAATATCAAGAAACCCTCGTCCATACACAACTGATATATTAAGTTGCTAGAAAAAACCGAATAAGAAGTTGGGGAAAAAATGTCGGGTATTACCCGAAGGTATTGAAATCATAGGATTCGGCATGCAAGTACATGGAGATGAGCAAAGTGGATGAGACAAATATTTGGCCGGAACGGAAAGAGAGACTGGCGCCGGTGCCGAACGATCCCTGCACATTCATACCTGTGACGAAAAGTGGACTTTGTTTCCTCTTTATTCTCTTTTGCTTTGGTTCTTTACAAAATAATGAGATATACATAAACTTAAACGTTTTGAAGTTTATATTAAACATCACACTTTAAATTCTGTTAATTTCTTTTTGAAAATTTGGTTTGTAGATTTTAATTTTTGATAAGATGTTACCAAATTGTAACGACAACGATAATGTATGTCTTCCCCATAATAACTACATATGCAATTCGTTCAGCAAAAAAGAAACTACATATGCAATATTGTATCAAGCAACACATGGAAAAAAACTAGCTGGTTGAAAAAAAAATTGATGTGATTATATATTAACTGGTACTTGTGTTATTTGATCAAAATATTTGTGTTGGACTCTGTATTCTATCAACTGTTAAATATAAAACTTTCCGTTTTCAAGTACTTTCTTCTATAAGCTAGTACTAGTATGGTGCACAAAAGAAAAGCTAGTACTAGTATATACTAAAATTGACACTCTATGCCTCTATATGCGCTAGTCCAGCCATATAATCAAATACAAAACCTTTGTCAACTTCGACTTAATTATAAGAAGAAAATGAAGGATAGATTAATCGTACTCATCTATAGAACTGAAACATACCATCACACACCCAACTCGAATGCACCTAATCTTATTTTTCTAGTAATAAATAAAGGAAAATAACCCGATCAATGCCCAAGCGAGGTCAATGGGACAACACTAATGGAAGAGAGCTTGTAGAACTCTGAATCATGCTATGTCTAGAGTTCTTTCTCTTTCTCATGGCTGTTGGGAAGTGATGTTCGAGTATTGTCTAAGTCCTAATGGGCCTTGGTAAGATGAGTTGACAACAGTACTATAAGTAAGTCGGATGGGCCTTTAATCTGGAAGCCCATGAAGAGAGAAGACTTACGGGTGGTATCATGGACTTGATACAGGGGATCTCTTCTTTATAGTTGTAACTGACTAACAGAATCTTATCGCTAAGTCAAGTAGAGAGCGAGAGAGAATCCGCCATTGTTGTCACCGTAGAAAGCTTGTAATCACGAGTGATAGTGAATTCCGGGTACCGATCTCGAAGGAGACGTATCTCGTCACTGTGACAGGGAACTCTAAAACGCTTCCCTTGCCATTTACTTCTTGCTCTAGTTTCTCTTCTCCGTTTATCGTTTGTTTGTTATAGGAGTCGCGAACCTAATACACACGAGAGATACACAAGTGAGATTGAGTGAATCAGAGAGTCCGATCATATAGGAATACGTTAACAATTGGTATCAGAGCTCAGGCGGAGCTATTGGAGGATCTTGATCGGAACATAAAGAAGAAGGACGGCACAAGGAAGGCAAATCATCGAAGATCTTCTCGATCTCTAAAGGGAGTACTCTGTTCAAATAGATTGCTATAAGTTTCTAGACATAAAACTCTAGAATAGTAAATAGGATCAAGGTTGAACAACTTAGAATAGCGCGGAGTTACTGGTGATTGTTCTTGTGTGTGTTATCTGCAGGTAACCAGGCTATCAAGACTCTCACTCACAGCGAGGAATGGATCCCACAAGGGGGAAGTTTGAGATCGAGAAATTTGATGGAAAATGAGACTTTGGCTTATGGAAGTTCAAGATGCTGGGTCAACTTGAAATTCAAGGACTCCTATCAGTTTTACAAGAAGAGGAGACATCATCTGGAGAATTAGATGAGGATGTTGAGATAAAAGACGTCAAGAAGGACCTGAAGAAGTCGGAAAAGGATCTAAGAGTCAGAAGCTTGTTTAGTACCTGCTTGAGTGATGTCATTCTCAGGAAAATAATGCACGAAACCACTGCATTAGGAATGTGGAAATCTCTCGAGAAGGATTATCAAACCAAGTCACTACCAAACAGGATTTACCTAAAGAAGAAGTTCTCCTGCTACAAGATGGAAGAAGATAAGACTATGGAAGAGAACTTCGACCTGTTCTTGAAGCTAATTGACGACTTGGCAAGCATCAAAGTGACCATCTCAGACGAGGATCAAGCAATTCAGCTTCTGTCAGCACTCCCAGCAACGTATGAACCTCTGGTACATACATTACAATACGGAACGGGGAAGGACACTCTCACAGTTAGCGAGGTGATCACTTCAGCTTACTCTAAAGAAGCAGAGCTGAAACAAAAGGGGCTAACTACGAGAGGAAAACAAACTGAAGGACTCTACACAGAATCAAGGGGTAGGACTTCGAGTAGGAGTGAAGCAGGGAACAACAAGTCTTGGCAAAGCCGGGGAAAAGGAAGGTTCAGGTCTAAGTCCAGAGGTAGAGCCACCGGAAAACAAGACAAGACCTGCTGGATCTGTGGGAGTGAAGGACACTGGAAACGTGACTGTCCAGAAAGAAAGAAGGGAGGCTTCAATCAGAACAAGGTTCAAAACGGAGCAAACATGGTGGCTAACCTACCAGGACCAATAGCCTTAACAGCAAGTCTAGTGGCGTCAGAGGATGAGTGGGTTATGGACTCAGGGCGTACATTCCATATTACACCAAGAAAAGAATTACTTTCAGACTTCACAGAGTTTGAGGGAAATAAAGTTCTCATGGGAAACAACACATACTGTATGGTTAAAGGAAAAGGGAGTATCAAGATTGAGAACATGGATGGTTCAATAGTCATACTCCACAACGTTAGATACATACCAGAGATGGGAAGAAATCTCATCTCATATGGCCAGTTGGAACAAGCTGGATGTAGATATGTAGGAAAGGATTATCTGGTTGAGTTCTACCAAGGAGATAGAAAAGTTCTAACCGGAAAGTACTCAAATGGGTTATACTACCTACTGGGAACAGTCAGAAGACCTGAGGCAAATACAGCAGCGGGGTTGTCGATCTCACCAAGATATGGCACTCAAGGCTTGCACATATGAACCTGCGTTTGATGGAGATTCTAGCCAGAAAAGGATATCTCCGAAGAGCTGATATAGGAAAACTTGAGTTTTGCGAAGGATGTGCCATGGGGAAATCGCATAAGCAAAGATTTCCAAAGGCTAAAAGATTCTCAAAGGCAATTCTGGACTACATACATTCAGACCTTTGGGGATCTCCTAACACTATACCGAGCTTAGCAGGGGATCACTACTTTCTTACACTTACTGATGACTACTCTAAAAAGGTTTGGATTTATTTTCTACGAACTAAAGATGAAGTGTATAATTGTTTTGCAGATTGGAAAACTATGGTGGAGAACCAAACAGGGAAGAAAATAAAGTGCTTAAGGACAGACAATGGGCTGGAGTTTTGCAACATTCAAATGGACAAGCTATGCAGGGAGTCCGGGATCAAACGACACAATACATGTCCGTACACCCCACAACAGAATGGGATCTCAGAAAGAATGAACAGAAGCATTATGGACAAAGTAAGGTCAATGCTAGTGGAGACAGAACTAGATGAGAGTTACTGGGCTGAAGCAGCATCAACAGCAGTGTACCTGATTAATAGATCACCGAACTCATCCATCCGATTTGACATCCCAGAGGAGAGATGGACAGGAGGGAGACTAAGCTATGATCATCTAAGATGTTTTGGCT